CCCTGATTGCTCTTTGGGCTGATGAGGGAGAGGGACTTGATTGGGGCAGGGGGAGGGAAAGGGGAGGCGGCGGTGGGGAAGAGACAGAAATCTTTAATAAATAAATATATTTAAAAAAACTGAGCAAATATGCTCAACTGACTGAAAGACTAGTACTAACAATGAAGGAAATGTTCCTTCTAGTCCACTGTGCTGGGAAGACAGAAATGAGGCTTCATTCCCGTCCTTTAAATCTGCAAAGGAAGGACATTTGAGAACCCCTTAATTGATGCCTTTCTTTTGTAATTGATGCCTTTCTCTGTAATCATGTATACTTCTGTAGATGCTTTTCATTTCATTAAAACCTTTCCTTGTGAATCACACACACACACACACACACACACACACGCACACGCATGCACATGCCACATGCACGCGCACACACAGAGGCTGTGAATAGGATGGGCGGGAGTAGCAAACGGGAAACAGAAAACACTGAGCATTGTACCAAAATAAGCCACTAGAGGAAATTACAGATCACCATGCTTTATGAAGCCAACTGACAGTAAATATTGAGTCCTCTGGCTGGCTCACCAGGACAGGCTCGTGTCTGGGACCCTTGGACTGGACACAAAGGAGCATAAGGCTTTTAAATTCAAAATTCTGTAACCACCCTTGTGCAGCTGGGGGGAAGGGGGGGCCTTTACAAGTAACCTGTAAACATCATGTGAGGCTACACCTCCAAACTGTTTTCACACCTCAGTGTAAATCCCAGCCTCCAGCCTCCATCTTTGGAGGCACCTCCCCTGTGCCGCTTGAACCTTGACCCCTCCCCAGGAAAGGTCAAGACCACTCCCATACACTATTTTAACTGCTCCCCAGAAAATAAACACGTGGTCTTCCCTTTTCCTCTCCCGTAGTGGTCGCGTTGGTGACTTTCCGTTCCTCTCCGGGCCTCCCGGGAGCACAGCTGTCTAATTAAACTTGGATATCTTTTAATCTGGTTTGATTTGGCTTGATTTCCCAATTATTTTGCGTCGGCAGAGAGCTTGCATTAAAAAATATTCCTAACAATCAGGACCATATCTCGGCAGGGACGGAGGGCCCTTTGGGTGTTGCAAAACTCTATGTAAAGAGGAATGAGAAGCCTTTTGTTTATTGGCAAGTGTAGCTCCTAGGGTAGGAATTGTGGAGCCTGAGCAGCCTGACCTTTCTTAAGCTATTTCAGTACCTCTTGGTGGTTTCCTCGTGAGGGAAAAAGTGGACACCCCCAAAACTTAACCATGCTGCAGCCCTACCAGGTGATGCTAGTAGGATCACAGCCCCTGTATGTCCGCAGCTAGATGACCTGGGAAGAAAGATGGAGCACAGGAGGACAGGCCTGAGCAGTTTCCTCTCCCATGTCTTCAGATAAACCCCACTCCCTTAACGCATTGAACGCCTTCTTGCAAATAGATCAGTGGGATTTGGGGTACTTTCTGCTCAGTTTACTTGTCCCACACCTCCAGCTGAACATGGCTTGTTGTGGAAGTTTGCACGGTTGGGTTTGCTCCCTGCTCTCAGACAAAAGCAGAAACAATTCCTTCCCTGGACTCACAGTGGTGAGTGACACTCCACCAACAGACTTGTCAGACAGCTGTAGGGGAAGCCCTGCACCTAAGTGACGACATCATAAACAAAACTTCAGGAGCTTTGGGAACCGAAGCCACAGAGAAGTACTCCTCCCTGGGCCAAATCGCCGTCCCCTTTGGTGAGTGGAATCCTCTTGACTTCCCCGATTCGGAGTCGGGTGTTTTGTGCAAATGCAAGGGTAGGCTCTTTAGGAGAAGGGGCTGGAAGGATAGCAAGATCAGATTTCCCAAGAGCAACCAAAGCCCTGAGTCAGACCTGAATCTCGAGTTTTAATGTTATTTTTATCTATTTACAGAGGGCAGTAGGGGAGCATGTGCCCAGTTCACCCAAGCCAACATCCGCAGAAAGTCCTTTACACAGACACGCGAAAGAAGCCCCGCAAGCTTCGCACTCGGATCTTATTTCAATTTATTTTTAGTATTAAAAGCTACTGAAGCAAGTTACATGGATGTTATCCCAGGCATTGGACGTGGCTCCCTACCCTGTAAACATTTACTGTGCCTAGCAACTGCCTACCAAAGAGGCCGGTCCAGGAAGGCATTTTGCAATAGAGAAACGGGTTAGCTGCTTCTAGGGCCAGCCTTGCAGGGGAAAGTGGTACAACGTCATAAGAAAGGCACCAACTCCCAGAAAGCTACAAGCCAAGTCAAACTGAGAGAAAACATCACATCACAGACGTCCCAACTGAGGATAGTGTCCCTTTTCCCTTACTGGTCCTGTTTATGATACCCACTCATATGCCTTGCTGTTTCTTCTAGCAATGTCTTCTGGGAAAAGAAGCCACCATGTCGGGGAGCCTGCCTTTGCTATCCTCTAACTCTCCTGCAATCTGATGCAGTTTCCAAAGTTACCTGGTTGTCTCTTAGGTTCGTAGTTAGCCCCTGCTGTGGCCCAGCTTCATCTCCTTTCTCAAGCAGAGGCACGGACTTACATCCCGTTTGGTTCAGAACCTCCGTTCCCATATGTGACTTCCTTTTCCTTATTCTTGTCTGCATCCTCTATGCCAGCGCACCCTCTGGCCTGGTGTCCCCTTAGGAGGTGCACTTGACCCCTCTCTGGCCAAAGTCTCTGCCACAAATAAATTTCCTGAGACCCCCAGGGAGCTCCTTTCCTATGGTCCTCCTGGGTGTCCGGCCACTCTGCCTTTTTGCTTTGAAGGTTCCAGGTAAGGACAAGAGTGTCACCAGGGCAGCTTTCTAGGGCTGTGCACCACAAGAACACTTGCTGGTAGGTAGAGCCTGTCTGCCGACTTTAGAAACTGCTAGAACCTCGTTGGTACTACATTGCAGAAAAAAAGCCAACAAGAAGTCATAGCTCTTCACATGAAGCCAGACTCTGGGGAAAGGCTTGCTCTGAGAGCAGGAACTCCTGGCAGTCTGCAGGCAGGCCGGCAGGAGATTAGAGCAGAGCAGCAGGGGTTGACCACAGCGGGGGGTGTGGGTCTAGGGGAGCCGGGGAGACCTCCACTCATTCATCCCTCCACTCATCCCTCTGCTCTATTTCCCTGGGTAAGTGGTGTCTGGCACCATCTAAAGCCTGCCCCCTAGCTCTTTACCTCCCTACTGATCTGTTTGTGCCTGGCCACGCCTGTGAATCAATGTTTACAGGCAACACATTTACTGGACACAGAACCCATCCTGGCAACCCAAGACCTCCTTTTCACAGGCTGGCAACTGTCATAACTCCAGAGCGGGCTCTGGCACTGGAGTCCAGGGAGGGGCCGGTCACTTTCCTATTTTCTCTTGTCTTGCAGCACCATGACCCCTGAGGGGGTTCTCTGCTGCAGGTAAGCAAGGGCCTAGGCAGGTGGGACCTCAGCCTTCTATTTCTATTCCTCTGCAGACCTCTTACACAGTTGTTAGGATGCTGGACTCCTCAAGTGCCGATCAGATGACCCGGCTGACGTTGCGACTCCTGGAACAGGTAAGACAGAGCCTACCCACTGCTGTGCTCTAACCCGTAGTTCCGCTCTAATCTCCTGCCTCAAAGGCCGGAGGCAGACTGTACCTACTAGCAAGCATACTTCTGGGACACATCCCTATAAAACTCCTGTACCTACAGGCTCGTGTTTAAAGGGATGCTGACTGCTTCCTATGGAGATGCAACCAACATCCTGGTTGGGAAAAACCTGGTCGTGCCCAGTCTTCTCTACCTTCTCAACCATCTATGACATTCTGAGTGATCCGTGACCAACATGCCTGTCCTAGCAAGCAATGATGCATAGGGCCCATGGGCATTCATGCTGCCATGGGCAGCTTCTCCATATGCTCTGCCTGCATTGTTCCTCTTCTACTTCCTACCTATTACCAATCCTGGAACCCCTAGTTCAAGGCCCCAGTGGCCCTGGATACAAACCAAGGGTAGTCTCTGCAAGGGTTTGCTACTCAGAAATCTGTCTGGAGTATCCCTCTTGGGGCCCTTCAGGGTAACCCTTGGGATCCCTAAAAGTTCCCTCTTGGGACCCACCAGAGTGTCCCCTTTGGGTCCCAGCAGGGAAACTCCATGGGGTCCATCACTGTACCCCTTGTTGTGTATCATGATGCTCTACTTGTATCTCATCAGATCATCCGTTGGGGCCCCTCAGGGTATCCCCTTTGGGTTTAAGATGGCTAGCATACATTATGTTCGAGAACACGACCAGAAGAATCCTTAAGAGAATGGTGACCCTTGCTCCATCTACCCACTTGAAAAGTGCTTCTTGCCCTCCGTACTTCCTTTTGGGTGCTGACCACCCCTAGAGCTTTTGGAATATCAGTTGCATAGGCAGGTTGGCCGTGCAAACTCCACTCACCAACCTGGAGCCAAGTCCCCATCACAGATTCTTCCTCACAGATGCTGGAACAGGAACGAGAAAGCATGGACAGAGCAGGTAAGTGTTCTAAGACGCTTGGGCACATACAGGTAGGAAGGAGAACTGACCAGAAGAGTGGCAGGCAGAGCAGGCCCTGGCTTTTGTTTTTACCTGTAAAACAACATACATGCATTCACAAACACACATGCACAAACACATGTGCAAACACACACACACATGCACAAACACACATGAACACATGCACAAATATACCCACACTAACATGCACACATGCTGCACCCTTAGCCAGCTGGCTCTTAGAGAGAATGTATCTTGTACTTAGGAAAATGTGGGCACAGAAAGGTCAGGCAACAAACCTCAGATTACTCAGTGCAGAAATTGTCTAATCAATTCAGACTCATATTGCCCTAATTCCAGGGATGGGCAGAGCCTCTGTCTTATCCTTCTCAACACCTGGGACCAGAATATAGGTTTATGGACATCTGAATGGGGATCCGAGGCTAGAGGAGCATATCTTATTCTTTAGAACATGGAGTATTCATGGCTCTAGGTAACTCCAGGAACACTGAGGGCAGCTAGCTGAACCTGGGAGCCTCAAATCTAGATGAAAAATGGCAAACCAGGCCAACATGATCCAGGGGACCTACACACAACCCAATGGCCACAAATGTGCCAGAGGGCATCCCAGGTAAAGCTTCCAGAGAAGCCAGCCCTGGCATCACAAATATCCCAGTTCCAGTAGAATGTCAGGGCAAGCCGACCCCTTTCAGAGCTTTCTCTGGAGTAAGACCCTCTCCCCCACGTTGGCGAGCATGCTTCCATACAGCTTAGGATCAGGGCTATGCAGGTATAGCTGGGCCTTTGGAGGCCTCCTGCAATCCAGGAGTGCCGGAGCACTGAGAGAGATCTGGTCTACTGGACTTTCAGTGCCTTTCAGAACCAAGAAAATCCTCTGGGCTGACTCTAACCAAGCCCTCCCCTCTCTACTACAGCCCTTCTCTCCCTGCCCTAGCCCTGGTCCCTCCTTCTTTGGGATGGATGTTTATGACAGACCTGAGCTCAGGAGGCTCCAGGCTACTCTGAACCCTAGGGTGCAGGGAAGTTGGTGCACTCTGCCAGAACCAGCAGCCAGGATATTTCTCAGTGATGTGTGCCTTCTCCACCCAGGACAACAGGAAAAGCCAGACACTGCCCTGCAGAATGCTTTGAGGAGAAGGAAGGACCTTCTACAGAGACTCTGGGTAGGCCTGCACCCTCAGCCAAGCCTGGGCCTGACTCTCCATGGGCTAATACACCGGCTCAGAGACTCCAATTAACGCTTGTCTGCACTCCTGAGATCAATTAGCTAACGTTTACACACTGGGGGCTGGTAACTGAACGGTGAGCATTAAGAGACTAACACTCCCAGCCCATCACTTCCCCGAGGAAATTAGAGAAGGTAAAGGGTCAGGTATAGGCAGTATGTGAGCTTAGAAACTCTTAGGCCACTGCCACAGAGCAGGCAATGAGCCAAGGTCCATGGCCATAGGACGTGGAGCTCACATAAACTAAACTGGCCAGCAGCAAGAAGTGACCGTGCCTAGAAGCATCTGTGTGGGTGTTATCCCCACAATCCCCTTAGACAAGAGGTTTGCTCTTTCTGCATTGGGCAGATGCCAAAATGCATGAAGAACCATTAGACTGTTGGCTGGGAAACAGCAACCACCAGAAACTCATTACAAGTATTTGGTATATGCTAAGAGAAGCAGAATTTCCAAATATTTACCAAGGAAGTATTATTGAACTTGGGGTCACAACCTGTGTCCCAAGTTCAGCTTGGCCATTCATTCTCAATAAGCCAATTAAAAGTCAAATTATCAGTGGAAAGCAGAAAAAATGATTTATTCATTATGGTCACATTGAGAAGAGAGACAAAGAGATCCCTAATTCCAGGGTCTACACTGAACATTTGGGTGCCATAGTCCCTGGCAGGGATGAGGATGGGAAAACCACACTAGTGAGAGCCTGTTCACCCAGTGAGGTTCATAGGTCTCTGCTGGTGGCTTTATAACCAACAGGCTGCCGATCTTTTAGGAACAGCAGTTGGTGAATGAGCACTCCCCAGTCCACGCCTGGAGGAGGGCACAGGAAAGAACCATGGCGCCAGCCCTGAACCCAGAGGTGCCTCCCGTGGATGTCTTCCCTGCTGCCTCTCCGCTTTTGCCCCGACCCCCAGAGCCACCAAGGATTATCCAGCACCCGGTAGGACTCCTGGGTCACAGCAGCTTCTAGCAGGGGTAGGAGGGTCAGAACTGAGACTTCAGAGCAATGCAGAAGTACACTGTGTTGCCCGCAGGCCATCCAGTCAGGGAGGCCAGAGGTAATTCTCTCTCTTCCCTCCAACGTCCAGGGAAGGAGGCCTAGGATTCTCACATGTCTTTTCCAGGGGGTCCCAGCAGGATGCCAGTGCTCTGGAGAGGCTCACTGTTCAGAGCCAATAGCAGCTTCATTTGCTGCCCATGGCACCATGGGGTGGCTCAGGGAAAGACATGGAGGACTGGCCTGGGGATGGCTACCCTCTCAGGACAGACTCGCCTCCTACTAGACTTACATAACAGCTGCATTGTAAGAACTGGGGGAGTTTAGCCCCAGTGGGCCCTGAATTCACAGCCTTTTGATACTTCTCAGTGACTCGGGATGTTTGAGACCCTGGCTTAGGGACAGAGCTACAAACAACAGAATATACCATTCTGTGTGGTGCCCACAAAGCATTCTGAGTCACAAGCAAAAGAAACTCAACCATCTTAAGCAAATGATAGCTATTTTTTAATTGTATGTATTATTAGTGTGTGTGTGTAATGCAAAAATGGGGCACACGCACCACAGTGCATATGTACAATACTGTGGAATGGGTTTTGTCCTTCCACTGTGATATGGGTTCTGGGGATCAAAGCCAAGTCGCCAAGCCTCTTGGTGAGTACCTTTATCTACTAAGCATCTCGCTGGCTCAGAAAGAATATTCTTAAGCAGAGGGGTTAAGAGGCCAGGTGAGTGAGGCCTTTGTTTGGGATCAGTATGAGGGAATGCAGGAATGAGGAGAATAGGCACAGGAGAAAACGTTCCAGACATGCTAGTGACCTGGAAGACATCTTCCCTATGGGCAGGAAAACTGGCAGCAGCACTTAGCAGGGGGAATGGATCCCACAGAACTCCCTTTGCTGGTGAGCCATCCGTACCCAGGTTCCAGATGTTCCAGCCTGTGTTTCTACCGGCTGTCAGGAACATCTCCTTTAATCCCAGCACTCGGGAGGCAGAGGCAGGCGGATCTCTGAGTTCGAGGTCAGCTTGGTCTATAAGAGCTAATTCCAGGATGGGCTCCAAATCTACAAAGAAACCCTGTCTCAAAATATCACAGACAGACAGACACACACACACACACACACACACACACACGCACACACACACAGACAGGGTCGGTCTCACTGTGTATCCTTGGCTGACCGGAACTCACTCAGGCTGACCTCACTGTATAGACCATGCCTCCTGGCCCTGCCTTCCAAGTGCTGAGATTAAAACCATGCGCCACCACCTGTTGGTTTCATGTTCTCACATGTCTACAGGCAAATAGAGGAAAAACACTTTGTAACACAGGAAGACACAGTTCGATTTTCATGAAAAAGTCACGGGTTAGGATGCATGTTGATGTCCGTCTGTGGCTGCTCTCATTTTTAACAACTGAGCCCACGTGGCCCATGAGCCCTAATTCACTACATCTCTGGGGCGAGAACTCCCAAGTCTGGTCTAGTCCACTGACTCTGAATAGAAAGAAGAGGCAAGTTCATTCTAGACTTGCAAGAGGAGTAAACAATTCTCTCTGGTGTTTGCTTGAAATTGCTACTTATTTACTTCACTCAGAAGAGAAACCAGAGGCTAAGAGCTCACACACAAGGTTGACATTCCTGTCCTTTGTATGGAGAGCTGTAGCAATCAACAAAGTTGGGAATGGCACTACTATAGACCAGCCACTGGAAGAGACTTGTGAACACCCGACTTTCATCAAGCAGGTTTACCCCTAGACTCTCTACACCTGAAATTCAATCATACTCCTCTTAAAATGCATAAATGTTAACAGACTGGACACATCAAATGTTAAATCTATTAAAGCAAAATTAAGCAGGCATTAACTACCTTCCTGAAGGTAGGAAATATGAGAATCATTAAAAATATCATGTATATGCTGGATGCGGTGGTATGTATTTACATCTTATACTCTGTAGTCAGAGGCAGGAAGACCAGTAAGAGTTCAAGGCCAGTCTGGTCTACTTGGTGAATTCTATGCCAGGTGGAGCCACACAGCGTGACCTGGTCTCAAAAACAAAAGAAAAGAAAACAGGGGGCTGGCAAGATGGCTCAGAGGTTAAGAGCATTACCGGCTCTTCCAAAGGTCCTGAGTTCAATTCCCAGCAACCACTTGGTGGCTCACAACCATCAGTAATGGGGTCTGGTGCCCTCTTCTGGCCTGCAGGCATACACACAGACAGAATATTGTATACATAATAAATAAACAAACAAACAAACAAATAAATATAAAAAACAAGTCCTAACCAAATGTAAAAATTTTTCTATTCTATTGTTTAACTTACAGTGTTAATCATTTAAATTTCTCCTCAGATGGATGATAGATGGGGGATGGGTGGATGGGATGGATGGGTAGGAGGACAGATGGATGGAAGGGGTGTGTAGACTGATAACTGACTGGGTGGATGGATAGTTAGTTAAGTGTGCAGATGGATGGATGGAGGAGCCTTGTGAAGTTTGTACGTTCACACAGCTAACCAACTGGCCTTCTTAGGTCCCGCAGCCTCCTGCCACCATCATTCAGCAGCTACCCCAGCAGCAGCCACTGATTGCACAGATTTCTCCCCCTCAGGCCTTTCCCACTCAAAGATCGGGAAGTATCAAGGAAGGTGCGTATGTGTTCTACATCGCTATTACTTTATTTTTTTTAATATTTATTTATTATGTATATAACATTCTGCCTCCATGTATGCCTGCATGCCAGAAAAGGGCACCAGATCTCATTACAGATGGTTGTGAGCCACCATGTGGTTACTGGGAATTGAACTCAGGACCTCTGGAAGAGCAGCCAGTGCTCTTAACCACTGAGCCATCTCTCCAGCCCCTTGCTATTACTTTAGGTTTATGAAATTATACACTGAAAGGAAAAGTGTAGCACGGTTAATAAAAACCCAGAGACAGATTCTGGGGTCCAACCTAAAGGTCAGAAAAACAAAACAGCCAGTCATTGGCTCTTCCCTCTACCTCAGTCTGAAATGGCGATCCTGCCTCCAGGAATCTCAGAATGAGACTGTGTGTGAGAGCTGCCCCCTCCCATCTTATATTCCTCTCTAGGGCTGGGATTGAAGGCGTGCACCACTACCACCTGGTTTCTGTGGCAAACTAGTGTGGTTACTGGGATTAAAGATGTGTGTCAACACTGCCTGTCTGTAAGGCTGACCAGCGGGGCTTTTTTTTAACTCTCTGATCTTCAGGCAAGCTTTATTTATTAAAATACATATAAAATATCACTACAGAAAAGTATTTTTGTAAGTAGGTGTTGTGTGATACTTTTCCTGGTGAGGTGCAACAGAAATATCTATTCACACCAGAAGGAGAACCAGTAACAGACAAAAGTAACAATACCACTAAAGTCCAACTTGATGAATCAGTGAGTTTATTGGAGTTACTTACAGACAGCTAAAAGGACAGCCAGATCACCAAAAGTTCATCCCAGGGTGGGTAATGACTCATGAAAGCATGCTTGGATCCCAGAGCTCTAGAAATCAGTAGGTCAAAGAGTCTCTTCCGGGCAGCTTGGCTGGTCTGAGCTCCTCAGCAGTCCTTACTGCTCACGTAACTGTGGAAGGAGGTACTTGGTGTATCTAGCACATTTTGAAGACTTCCTGAGACTTGTGAGTTGTTTACTTTCTGCTTCTGTCGGGCTTTGATCTGTTGGAGGCTTGTATGAACTAACAGAGGATTAGATGCCTTTTCTGGAGGCTGGGGGCTGTAGGAGCAGGTAAGAAACGGCTTTTCCAGGCAAACAGAAGCCCACTTCACAAGGTTTGTGAGGAATGCTGAGTGTTCAGCATTAGTCAAAGGCCAGATTGAATTGAGCCCAGATTGTCTTTTAGAGGAGTTGAGACCTGACACTTCCTAAGCATTTTTTTGAAAGGATTTTTATTTTGTGTCTGCGTGTTTTTTACCAGTGTGTATATCAACAGTGTACCGTGGTCATGTATTGCTCTCAGAGGCTCCCAGAACTGGAATTGCAGACGGTTATCTCTGCTTCTTGAATGCTGGGATTAAAGGTGTGCGCCACCACCACCCAGCAGACCACAGCAACTCTTATAAAGGAACACATTTAATGGAGTGTCTTATAGTTTCAGAGGTTTAGTCTGTTTATCATCATAGTGGGACATAGTGTCATACAAGCTGACATGGTGCTGGAGAAGGAGCTGAAAGTGGAGAAAGCTACATCTTGATCCCACAAGCAACAGGACATGATCTGAACTAGGCTGTATCTTGATCATAGGAGACCTCAAAGCCCGCCCCCCACAGTGACACACTTCCTCCAAGGCCATACCTACTTCAACAAGGCCACACCTAATAATGGAGCTTATGGTAGCCAATTATATTCAAACGACCACAGATGCACGCCACAGTGGTGTGAATAAAATGGCACTGTAGACTACAGCAAACGATTAAGAACAATTAAGAGGGTTTTTTTTAAATTGTTTGTTTGTTTTACTGAGACAGTGTTTCTCTGGGTAACTCTGACTGTCCTGGAACTAGCTCTTATAGACCAGGCTAGCTTTGAACTCACAGAGATCTGCCTGCCTCTGCCTCCCAAGTGCTGGGATTAAAGGTATGCTCCATCACTGCCCAGTAAGAGTTGTGTTTTTTTTTTCTTTTTCAAGACAGGGTTTCTCTGTGTAGCTTTGGAGCCTATCTTGAAACTTGCTCTGTAGACCAGGCTGGCCTCAAAATCACAGAGATCAACCTGCCTCTGCCCCCTGATTTTTGGGATTAAAGGCATGTGCCACCACCGTCTGGTGCCTGTTTTTAACAAACACAAGGAGCAGTCAGTTTCAGAGCAGAGACTATCATCAGGCACCAACATATGAATAAGCCCTGACTCTCCTTTCAGACATGGTGGAGATGATGCTAATGCAGAATGCACAGATGCACCAGATCCTCATGCAGAACATGATGCTCAAAGCCCTGCCCCCTGGACCCACAGGGCCACGTGCCGCTACCCTCCAGGTAGGTTTGGGGGCTGAGATTCAGTCATTGGCTGGGGGCAGGGTAGCTCCTGGGTACCTGTGCACACATCTCTGGCTTGTGGGTATGTGATGAAGGTGATGGGGAGCAGGTGAGGTAGCTGGGGCACAGAGAACCCTAAGCCCAGGGTGTACTCCCATCACAGTCTGCTGCCCTTCTCACCAATCTGGGCCCAGGCATAGGGAAAGGATGCTGCCGTCCTGACTTGGCTGTGTACTCTGCCAGGACCCACGATGGGCGCACCATGGAGTCTTGCGAGCTGAAAAGCAGAAGCCACCCCCTGTGCACCACCATCACCACTATGCACCCCCTGCCCAGCTGCAGGCTGCCTCCACAGCTGGTGCCCCTTCAGGATATCCGGGGTGGCCTCCAGTGGTGGCAGCTACCGCCCTCCCACATGCAGCCAGCTTCTTGCCCACTGTGAGCCACCTGACTGAGCCAACTACTTCCCATCCCAGCTACCTGTAGCACGTATGCCTGGAGGGAGAAAGCTAGTGTTTTGCAGCAGGTAAGTGGAAGGATGGGCCTGGCCACCTCTCCTCCATGTATGCCAACAAGCACACGCATCCTGTGGTCAAACCAATGCACTGTGGCAGATTGGAAGGAGCCAGAAAAAAAAGTCAGTTGCAGGTCTCAGCACCAGTTGTCAAGCCTGTGGAGCCTGTCACCCCTGGGAAGGCTATGTCTTAGATCTTTGGGCAGTCCAGCAGGACTGGTCCCGTAAAGTGTCCTTCACCTCAGCCCAGGTCCCACAGCACCCCTCATTCGACACCCTTGATTTTCTCACTGAGCTGCACTGGAAACCATGCTGCCTTTCCAGGTGTGTCAGGCCATTCGCCTGTCTCAGTAAGCATCATGGTCTTCTAGGCTTGATTACTCTCCATGGCCATCTGGGAAAGCTAGGAGACTGAGGCCTCACCCAGGGGAAACACAAACATTTTATTATGAAAGACTTGTTAGAAAAACAGTTCCAGATCAGAATCCATCATTACAGCTGCAAACCCATTTTAACATTCCTGTGAAAGGTTGCAGTAAGAGTAAAGTGAGGCCGGAGTCATAACTCAGTGGCAGGCAGCTTGCTGAACACGGGTGAGGCCCTGTGTTATGTCCTTGATGTGTTACACCTGCCCACTCGCAAACCAAGAGAAAGACCTGATGATCATGCCTGGAATGATCACTTCATTCCAACGTGAGAGAAGCAAGCTGAAGAATGTGTGATGTGCTTTCTTTTCAAATATCCAGGGTCAACAAGGTTGCATAGCAGTTAAAGGTGCTTGCTGTCAGTCAAGTCTGATAACTGAGTTTTAGCCTCAGGACATGGTGGGTGGGAGGGGGGGGACCGAAGACCAACTTCTGCAGGCTGTCACTCTTGCCTTACGACCGCATTGCACTGCTGCATTGTGGTGTGCATACACTCCAACACCATCGCTGATTAAATGCAATTCAAAATAAAATAAGGAGCTGGGCATGGTGGCACACACCTTTAGTCCCAGCACTAGAGAGGTAGAGGCAAGCAGATCACTAAGTTCGAGGCCAGCTTGGTCTACATAGTTCCAGGATAGCCGGAGTTGCACAGAAAAACCCTGTTTCGGAAAACAAGAAAGTGCTGGAGAGATGGCTCAGTGGTTAAGAGTTAAGGCCATTTGGTGCTCTTGAAGAAAACCCCGGTTCAATTCCCAGCACATGGCAACTCAATGTCTGTAACTCAGTTCCAGGGGCTTTAATGTCCTCTTCTTATTTCCATGGGTAGCAGGCAAACACATGGTACACAGACACACACCCAAGTAAAACACTCATACACATAAAATGTTAAAATCTTAAGAACTAACAAGAAACACGTGTAAGGTGTGAACATGTGTGGCCTGCAGGCTGAGTAAATGTGGATGGATTCGGGCGGTGGTAGCGCACGCCTTTAATCCCAGCACCTGGGAAGCAGAGGCAGGCAGATCTCTGTGAGTTTGAAGACAGACTGGTCTACAAAAGCTAGTTCCAGGACAGGCTCCAAAGGTAGAAATCCTGTCTTGAAAAATAAAAATAATAATAAAAAAGAATCAAGTAATAATAAATATATAAACAAATAAATAAGGATGATTCATACACTGTATACAAGGAATTTTTCTAAAAGCCACAAACAGCCTGGCCCGTGCCTCCTCGAGGGAGATGATCGCTTTCCCCGTCCCATTTGTACCCTGGTCCTGGTAGATTTCTTTTCACACGTGTGTGCATGCTTCCTTGACTTTCTGGTGTCTCTTTTGTTGTTTTGGTAAAATTGGTTTCCTTTTTGGTTTTGGTTGGTTTTTGAGTCCAGGCTGACAACAAACTTACAATCCTGTTTTAACTTGGCTGCTGCTAGGGTTTCAGACATGTAAAATCATGCCTGTTTCCTTTGTTTGTTGAGACAGGGTCTTACATGTAGACCAGGCTGACCTTAATCAAATTCAGTGAGCTTCACCTGCCTCTGGCCTCTGAAAGCGTGTAGTGCCATCTGTAGGCGGAGACTGCTCATTTGTTTCCCCAACTGCTCAGACCTGAATAATCACACAGAAACTGTATTAATTACAACACTGTTCAACCAATGACTCAGGCATAGTTTTAGCTAGCTCTTACATCTTGAATTAACCTGTTTCTATTAATCTATGTATCGGCATGAGGCTGTGGCTTACTGGTAAGGATCCAGCACCTATCTCCTTTGGCACCTACATGACGTCTCTGACTCTGCCCACTTTCTCTCTGTATCCGTTTGGATTTCCCTCCTGGTTCTGCTGTGCTAAGCAGAAAAAGCTTTATTCATTAACCAATGGTAATAAAACATATTCACAGCATACAGAGGGAAATCCCACATCAAGTGCTGAGACTAAAGGTATGTCTAACCATGCCTAGCCTCCTAGTTGTTTTAATGGCTTTTGTTTGTTTTTTGAGACAAGGTTTATTATGTGGCTCTGGCTGTCCTGGAACTCAATATCGGTCTACACTCACAAGCTCTGCTTCCTGAGAGCTTGGAGTGCACCACCACCCCTGGCTTAATGTTTTGATTTTAAAGATTTATTATTTGTGACAGTGGATTGAACACAAGGTTTTGAGCACACTAGCCAAGTACTCTTCCGTTAACATCCATCTCCTTTTTACCATTTTTTAAAAATATTTATTTATTTACTATACAATATTCTTTCTGCGTGTATGCCTGAAGGCCAGAAGAGGGCACCAGACCTCATTACAGATGGTTGTGAGCCACCATGTGGTTGCTGGGAATTGAACTCAGGACCTTTGGAAGAGCAGGCAATGCTCTTAACCACTGAGCCATCTCTCCAGCCCCCATCCTTTTTACCATTTTGAGACAACATGTCACTGAGTTGCTCAGGCTGGCCTCAAACTTGTAATTCTCTTGTCTTGGCCTCTCTAGTAGTTGGGATCACTGGAGTGTTATATTCCACCTGCCTTTACAGATGCTATTTTCAAGTATTAAAGTAAGCTCTCATTTGCTACATTCCTCACCAAAAAGCTGGTCCCTACTTTTGAATCCTTGGAACCCTACAGGTCAGAGGCAAGATGATTCAGAGTTGCCAGTTAGCCCTGTGTGGACCTTCCCTGTGACTGACCTGGCTACCACACAGTGAAGACAGTGATGTGATGTCCATGTGGATGAACAAGTCAATGCAACACACTCCCAAGAGCTTCAGGGTGGTGACATCCACTTCCTACAGAACCATCTTTCAGTGTCCCTTAGGATGTGGTTCCAGAGAATCTTGTTTTGTTAAAAGCATCAATTAAAGACCTCACACAGTTTCCTTTCTTCATGATGATTTCTGACACGATCTTTCTCTCATATTAAGATAGCTTTTTTTTTTTTTTTGGTTTCTTGCTGGCCTCGAACTCACAGAGATTTGCCTGTCTCTGCCTCCCGAGTGCTGGGATTAAAGGTGTGCACTACCACCGCCTGGCTCTAAGATAGCTTTTTAAACAGAGCAAGAGCCAACTTGACACCTCCTTGGTACTTCCTGAAGCCAATTTCCACTCATGGAATTGAGCTTCCATGTGGGCCGAAGTCACCCAGGCCAGCATGACCAGCAGAGATCCATTCTGGAGGGGCAGGACTCCGTCCATCAATGTCTCTAGCTCACAGTATTGAAACATTAGTAGAGGCCCTTGGTCAGGGGCTGGAGGCTGGCTCCGGTGCAGCGATTCAGTTCCTCCAGCACCAGTTTCTCCTGGTTGTACATCTGGAACACAGCAGCACACAAGCTGATAAGAGGGTACTTCTGGGACCCTTGTCCCCAGTCACACTCCTCCCTGTACCTCCTGCAGAGGCCCCCATCTCCAACACCACACAAGTCTACGGGCAACACCTGAACAGAGACTGAAAGAGCTATGGGTGGACAGGAGCTACAAGGGAGTAAGGACAGCAGGGAGGGGACCCTCAAAGGGTTGGGGGAGAAGCTTGGATACCCAAGAGTACCAGGGAAGTGTTGAGAAGCAAGGGGGTGAGCAAAGAAAGGACTGGGTGGGAGCAGAGCCAGAAGGTGGTCTACTTTTAACTGAGGAAAGAACCAGTTCATCCATGGGGCTGGAGAGAGAGCCTAGCAGTTAAGAGCACTTGCTGCTCTTACAGATGCCTTGGGTTTAGCTCCCAGCATCCACATCAGGCAGCTCACAACCACTGTATCTCCAGTTCCAGGACATCAAAAAAACAAAACAAAACAAAAAACAAAACAAAACAAAAAAACAAAAAACCCAAAGGAACCATTACTTCATACTACCTGTAGCCAACTGATGAGGAAAGCTTTTTTTTTCTATGTGTGAGGTTTTTCTAAACATTAAATATCTCTTGACTCCCACCAATAATAGCTAGCATAGCTAGCACTTCAGGGAATTTAACATTTAATCTGTTTGTCCAGCTGCCTTCTTTCAGCAGAGAACTATATAAGTATCATAAGGAACCAGATACTTAAAACAGTATGTCATCTTTATCTTTTGAGACAGGGTTTCCTTTGTAGCCCTGGTAGTCCTGGAACTCGCTTTGTAGACCAGACTGGCCTTGAACTTACAGAGATCCTCCTGCCTCTGCCTCCCCTCCCCCAAGTGCTGGGACTAAAGGTGTGTACTACCACCTACTACCTCATCTTTTTTAGGCCAGATGGATGGAAGCCATAGTTCCTGCTTCTTGTCATAGGGTTCATGGGGCTGGATGCCTAGAAGTTAGGGTTACATCTGTGGATAGCACATGGCCCCTTGCACAGGTATTGCCCCTACCTTTTGCCACTCGACCTCAGAGTTGTGGGTGAAGCCCAGAAGGTGACAGAGTCCATGTGTGGCTGTCACCTGTTGGAGCAAATGAGAAGTCAGCTCAGGGGATGATCTACCAGAAAGCTGCCCCTTGTGGCTCACAGACTACCCTTGTAAGACTGGGTTATCCTGTGCCAGGACACTGGGGCAGCTAGTCGCTTCACTGTGCAGGAGTTAAAACACCTCAGTTCCCTCCTGTCTAGGCAAGGGCTCACCACTGAGCTACATTCCAACCTTAGTTCCCTTCTGTCTAAAATGAAACATTTGGGCTGGAGAGATGGCTCAGAGGTTAAGGACACTGGCTGTTCTTCCAGAAGTCCTGAGTGAAGAGGCCAAACTTAACATCAGTGAGGCCGTGACAGGCTACAGAGTAACAATACTGGGACTGGGCCTCATCATTACAATAACCAAGAAAAGCCACAGACTGTACCCTGCAGGGGAACAATCAGAATTGAGACAAACAAGTACGAGATGCTCCAGAACATTGAGAATAGCTTACCTAACCTGTATATAGATTGCCAATTTCCCTACAGCAACGCCAGTACCAATCCCTGTTTGACTAGATTTCTGTTACCTCATTCTGGCCCAATTAGGAGTTCAAGCCCCATCTGAATCCAGAATTCCCCTACCTGCCTCATATTTTACTTCTTAAAACCCTGCCATAGCTGAGCTCAATGATCCAACTGCTGTGTCAGAACGAACGGAGGGACCAAGCTCAAGCTTGCAATAAAGGCTCTTTGCTTTTGCATATGAACTCAGACTCCTGGTGATCTCTGGCACAGGCATAACACTAAGTTCAATTCCCAGCAACCACATGGTGGCTCACAACCATCTATAATGTGATCTGCAGGCAGAACACTATATACATAATAAATAAATCTTAAAAAAGTAAGATGAAATAATATGGAACATTTTACATAGTTCATTTAATTAGTGTGGCGCATCACTGCTTGGGACTGCACACAGGTAAAGAGAGAGTTGACTGTCCCTGGCAGGGCAATCTTGGCTATCCAATTAGAACTAAGCAGGAGGGAAGGGTGAAGGGTGGCTTATGGTTGCAGTCTCAGATCTAGGATGCTGAAGGAAGGACTGATTGGACCAAAGAGGTCAAGACCAGCCTGGGCAATGTAGTGACTCCATATCTATCTATCTATCTATCTATCTATCTATCTATCTATCTATCTATCTATCTATCATCTTTCTTTCTTTCTATCTATCTATCTATCATCTATCTATCTATCTTTCTTTCTTTCTTTCTTTCTTTCTTTCTTTCTTTCTATCTATCTATTATTTTAAAATTGTATGTATGTGTCTGTGTATGTGCAAATGAGTACAGATGCCCTGGGAGGCCAGAAGAGGACACTGGATTCCCTGGAGCTGGAGTTACAGGCAGCTGTGAAACACCCCATGGGTGCTGGGACTAGAACTCAGGTTCTCTGGAAGAACAGTGCATCCTATTAATCACTGAGCCATCCCTCCAGCCTGAGCCTACATCTCTTTTGAAAAAAAAAAAAAAGTTAAGCAGCAAGGAGTGGCTAAATACAAGAAAGGGGAAGGTAGGAACAGGGCTGACAATTGCTAATCTATAATACCATGGTACCTGTGGATGCTATCGTACCCTCTCAGCCTTCTCTATGGCTTGAGTTTTGTTAGTGAGTATATGCCATTTTGCATCCCCACTTACCGTTAGGATGTCATAGAAATCTTCATTTTCTCTGCATTGCTGGAAGATATACTCCACACCTAGAAAAACATCTCCCAAATTATAGTCATCTGGTGAGTGTGGCTGAGGAAATTCCCCTGCTTTCAGATTCTGAAAATGAGGAAACAGAGTTGGAGGCCTTTCAAACAGTAGCCTAACCACAAGGACTTGGCTCACTTGTCCAGCAGAGGACATCGAAATCTTGACCACAAGATGGATGCTCAGATGCTCAAACCATGCCATAGAGGCTAAATACCATCAAAGAGGCCGAGAGGGTGGACTGCATAGTTATCACACACAATGGCCCTCATATGCTTTGATCTCATCGAATTATTCCATTTCTTTTATCCTTACCAAAGTAATTCACATTCTGTATCGTTAAGTTGGCATATGGACACAGTTACATTCTTTCCCACTTGTCTGCCTCTATTTTCTTCCTGCTTAGGAAATCACGTTGCACTGTACCTTCTACATTCTTTGGATTCTCTTCTGTAGGTGTGACATGGGTAGATCATGACATACACATTTTAAGTCTTTGTAACACTGTTAACTTTCAATTTGCTTTCCAAAAGGATCATTCCAATTTATGGGGCTAACGAAGGGTTAAAGGTGTTTACGTAATGTAGCTACTTGTAGCTATCACAAGGTATCTGTTGAAACTGTTTACCACTTTTTACTGTGCATTTTTCTACCCAAGCATTCACTACCGGAGGTACACTTATAATTTGAAAGGCCCTTACTTGAATTCCCTGAGAGCACAGAGGGAGGAAGGCAGCTCCTGCTTAGAGGAATTGTGATGTTTAGGGACAGACATACTTAACGAGCTTGGGTCATAGGCCATATTGCTTCACTTCTTTTGTTTTTATTTGCTTGTTTCTGAGACAGAGTCTTGGTTGTCAACTTGACTATATTTGGATTGAACTACAATCCCGGAAAGGAGGGAACACCTGTGATCCAGATCTCGAGGCTCGAAGACACACAATTTTAATCCTGATCACTAAGTGAGAAGACACACCTTTAATCTAAGCCACACTATCTTCTGGAAGCCTCTATAAGGTCGTGGAAGAAGCAAGGTTTTGTTCTTCTTTGCCTGCTTGTCCTCACCCTATCAGCACGCTCACTCCTTCACTGGCCTTGGAGCCTACCTCTTCGGGATTCCAGCGTCTACTGTGGAGACACCCAGCCTTGTGGGCAACTACTAAATTCTTGGAATTTTCATTCACGGCTAGCCACTGTTGGATTAGTTGGACTGCAGCCTGTAAGTCCATGACAATAAATGCCCCCAACCCCAAACACAAAGAGATTCATTCCATACATTCTGTGACTCTAGAAAATCGTGATTGCTACAGGGTTTTTGTTTTGGAGTTTTTCAAGATAGGGTTTCTCTGTATATGCCTGGCTGTCCCAGAACTCACTCTGTAGACCAGCCTGGCTTTGAGCTCAGAGATCCACCTGCTTCAGCCTCCCAAGTGCTGGTATTAAAGGCTCAGACAGGGGCTTATTATGTAGTCCTGTCTGGCCTTGAACTAACCAGGTAGACCAAGGCTGGCCTTGAACTCACAAAGCTGTGGTCGCCTCTGCCACCTGAATAGATGGAATTAAAGGCATGTATACCAGGCCAGGTGTCAATGCATTTTTTGAAAAATTCCAAAACCATATCTGTAACTAACAGGAACTGTTCTAGAAGAAAGGTGGGCTTCACGTGAGGAACATATTTTTTTACCTCATGGAATGGGAAAGACAGCACATCAGTCGGGACGCTTTTCTTCCTGTAGATCCTATTAATGTGCTGAATACGCTTGTTGTCAACACAGATGATCCCCAGGTCAAAATCCTTCACTCCTAAAACACTCCTGACCACATCCATCCTGCTGCGAAGTGGCACTCTTCTGATGGGGACCACCCGCTGCAGATTTTTAATCACCAAACTCATTTTGGGAAGAACATCCAGCCCCTTAAAAATGGTTGGAAGGAACCTGTGGTTAGAGTTCAAGAAAAGACCCATCAGTTCTAGAAAGTGGTAAACTATGTAAAAATACATACACACTCACAATAAAACAATTTTATTGCTGGGTGGTGGTGGCGCGCCCCTTTAATCCCAGCACTCAGGAGACAGAGGCAGGCGGATCTCTGACTTCAAACTCTGATCTACAGAGTTAGTTCCAGGACAGCCAGGGTCACACAAAGATACCGTCCTGAGAAACAAACGAACGAACCAAAACAGACAAACAAAAATTTTATTTGGTGGAATTTATCGGCACTTGTCAGGGAATTTACATTTACCATAGGAAACTATGAAACAGGGTAGGCTGGGCACAGTGTGCGGAATAAGGCGGTTTGGGGCAGTTGCTATGGTGTAGGACCAGGTATGGGTGAAAAGATGGGGTCTCTGTGGGTCCAGGGTCTCTCCGACACTTGGGAGGGTGGATCCACACACGAGCGTGGTGTTTCTACGCCGCACAAGGAGAAATCGCCGCACACTTACCGAAGCAGGTAGCGTGGGAAGCTGGGAACTAGATAGCTCGCCTGCCGGAAGATCAATAGCAGCACACCCCAGAGAGCGGAAGGCGGATGCGGAGGGCCGGAAGTCGGTCCGACGAATTTGTCGTCCGCCGCACACATCTAAGGGACTATCCCAGTGGTCTGTAGTGAACCCATAGTGCGATGGGCCTGGTGGTGAACGGATGCTGGCAGTGAATGAGCATCGGCCCTCGCGGCAGGGCGATATCTGGTGGAAACGCTCCTGCGGCGGCCTCCGCGGTTCACTGCGTTCTTGCCGAGTTGCTGAAGGTCTGGCTTCGCCATCTTCGCCCGAAGGTCTCTGTTGGCGGTGCCACCCGTTTCCCAAGAGCTGCTGGCGAAGGCAACAAAACTTAGGTCTAGGCCAGGCCAAGGCATCTCAAGTTCGAGTTACTGGGAGAAAGATGAGATGGTAGAAAATCAGAACGGTGACATTTTAACAGTATTACTCTGTAATTCTCTGACCTTGGAAATCGCAAGAATCAGGCGTAAGTGATGTTTTCCGTCTTAATGCTGAGATTTTTAGCCTTAGCTAGACCTGGTGGGGCATGCCTGTGATCCCAGCAATTGGGAAACCAAGGCAGGAGAAAGGAATGTAAGGCTGTGCTTGGCAGTATATAATAAGTTTGATACAAGCCTGGGCTGAGACCTTGTCTTAAAACAAAACAAAACCTTTAAACCTCCATTACACAGTAATTTATTTGTACTCTCTTACTCTGTGTTCAAAACAGGAAGAACCTATTGGTTCTGTGAGTGGTCGGTCCATTGTGAATGTGCCTTTTAAATTATCTTTAGAGTATTCGTGATTTAAGACTTGTAACAGTGTGCTGGAATGTTCTGAACTTTTGTTTTTCAGGTTATCCTGAGGGATGAAGGAGAGCGTCCCCAGGCCACAGGCAGTTTAAGGAAGAGGACTAGTTGTGGACAGACTGTATTGATTGCCTTCAAAGATGAACCCAGGGAACCCCTTCATTGGGAAGCAGCCCAGTGCTTTTGCAGTATCTTGTAGTACCACAGGAACATTCCAGACGAAGTCACCATTTCGATTTGGCCAGCCTTCCCTTTTTGGACAAAACACCACGCTGAGCAAGAACCTTGGCTTTTCACAGGTATCATCGAGCTTTGCAACACCCTCTGGAATAAGTCATTCTTCCTCGTTGCCAACGTTTGGACTTCCCCAAACCTCTAGTGCTGGACTGTTTACTAGTCTTGAATCCACAGCTTCTTTTCCAGCTACCTCTGGGCCTTCAAGTTCATCTGCGTCGGGAAATACAGGATTTAGTTTTAAATCACCCTCTAGCGTTGGGGTTTTCCCAAGCGGTTCTACTTTTGGGCCAGAGACTCGAGAAGTAGCAAGCTCTAGTCTTAGGAAAACAGATTTCAAGTTTAAACCTCTGGAAAATGCGGTATTCAGACCAATCCTGGGGGCGGAGTCAGAGCCAGAGAAAACCCAGAGTCAAACTGCCTCGGGCTTTTTCAAGTTTTCCCAGCCTGTTAGTAGTGCCTCTGGAGGCCTGACCCCTTTTCCTTTTCCTCAGGCGACAAGTAGTTCAGTGAATAGTCCAAATTTTGTCTTTTCAAAGCCAGCTGATAGTAATACAACATCTGCCCCTATCCCTCCTTTGTCCAGCCAGAGTGTGGAGGAGGAGAAGAGGGGACCTAAATCAGTATTTGGAAGTTCGAATACTGGTTTCACCACTTTCCCCATGTCATCTGGATCTTTGGGGGAGCACTTCCCAGGCAACAAAACAGGTATCCATCAAGGATGTGAGGAAGCCATTTCTCTGGTGGAGCCGCTTCCTACCCCCATGAAAGGACTAAAAAGGAAAGAGGACCAGGATCGCTCCCCAAGGAGACAGTGCCATGAGACAGCAGAAGATTCCGACCCCCTGTCCCGGGGTGACCATCCTCCAGATAAACGACCCGTCCGCCTAAATAGACCCCGGGGAGGCACTTTGTTTGGTCGGACGATACAGGATGTCTTCAAAAGCAATAAAGAAGTAGGTCGCCTGGGCAGCAAGGAATCTAAAAAGGAAACAGGCTTTGTGGAATCTGGGGAAAGTGACCACATGACCATCCCAGGAGGAAATCAGTCTGCCCTGGCACCTTCCCGGCTTCCTGCTGTGAGTAAAGAGGAGGAGGCAGAAGGTAGAGATGAAAAAGAAGGTGAGCTCTAGGTGTGCACGGCACAGGACACCTTGCTGCCGTGCTCTTGTCTATTTCCCGGTGTTGGCTTGGTTTTAGTCCCCACCAAAACATTGGAGATCCTAACAGCGCCTGGGGGCCGGCCTTCCGTCCATGAGCATTTCCTTTGCTTTTACACAGTAGCGACTCCTTGTGCTTGGATGTGTTCTACCCCACGGACTTATGTGTCTGCCTTCTGACTTTCTAGATTCCTTCAGGGGAGCATCTGCGCGCCCGAGCAAAAGGAGTGAGAGCACAGACAGTCTGGGAGGCTTGTCTTCCCTGGAGTCCACAGCCATCCAGTGCAAGAACATCCCCGACTCTCTCAACAACAGGACCACCCTGGAGAACTACTTTGGCAAAATCGCCAAAGTACAGCGGATCTTCACCCGGCGCAGCAAAAAGATGGCAGTGGTGCATTTTTTTGATCACGTGAGTTCTCCCATCTTGCCTCTTGTTACTCCAGATTTGAACTCAGTGATGTGTTTTCCCCTCGTGCAGACGATCAAACCCTGTGCTTGCAGGCACTGTACCACTGAGCTGCTGTTCTGAGGCCTCAACCTGGTCTCTCGGAAGATTCTTTTTATTTATTTTATGTTTCTGGGTGTCTGCCTGCATGTTTGTCTATGCACCACTTGAATGTCTGTTGCCCTAGAGGCCAGAAGAGGGCCTTAGTTCCCCTGGAACTGGAGTTCCAGATGATTGTAAGCTGTTGTGTGGGTGCTGGGGATAAAATCCAGTCCTCTGGAAGCACAGCCAGCGTTCCTAACTGCTGACTCTCTGCAGCTCCAACTTTGTGCCTTTTAAACTTTTTCCCTTTTCACCTATAAGTGGTTTGCTTGATAGACTGCAGGGAAAGCACCCAGGCATCGCATTCTCTTCTCCTTAACTGTCTCATCCGAAGTTTAAAATTGTGTGTGTATGTCAGGGCGTGGGTCATGAAGTTAGAAAAGGGATCCTAAAAGAGGGTCAGGGGAGAATGATAACGAAGGTGGCGGACATGTGTTGTGGAAACAGAAGGGAGACTGGGGGAATGTAGGGAAATAGCCAACAGGAACACAGGGGTGGAGTAAGGGAAGGGAGCATGTGCATGAAATGGCATAATGAGATATGATATGTAATATGTATATTGTTTATAATATATATTACATATACATATATATTATACGTATTATATATCTATATCCCATAGTAGATATGCCTACTAAAATAATTTTTTAAGAATCTCATTCTTCACTTGAGGTTGTGATGGTGTTTACTTTCCTGACTTGGGGTGTGCGTGTCTGAGGCCTCTGTAGAGCGAAGTTTTCTGGGGAGTGTGAGTGGGCACAGGTGGAGTCAGGTTCTTCTGAAAGCCTTGAGAGTCACGTGTAGCTGCAGAGTACTTTTCCAAGCTCAGATTCTCTGGTTTTGGTTTGTTTCATTTGGATAAGTTCATGATTAGTGTAGGCATTCAAGCAATACAAAGAAAAGGAGTCTCTTAGAATCCTATTCCCTAGGAAAAGCTGTTGGGCTTGTGGCCTGCTTCCAGTGTATACTTAAAGCACTGGCTGTGTGGTTTCACCTTCTGGGACTTTATATCTTTGCTATTTTTCATTCTTGTAGTAAGATTAAATCATATAAGAATTTAAGAAGGAGAAAGCATGTGTTCATAGCTTAAATTATGTCTGTCTATGTTTATTTATCAGTACATGTGTGGTATGAAGGATCAGAGACAAATGCCTGGAGGTCAGGGGACAACTTTTGTGGAATCACTTTTCTCCTACTCTTTTTGGGGCTTGAGGTCTTAAACTTGGGTTAAGTCCCTTTACTTGCTGAGACTGGCCCTCATTGCTTTTTTTTTTTTTTTTTTTTTTTTTTTTTTTTTTTTTTGCTCCTTCTTTGTGTCTGGAAGGGCCCCTGTACCTGTATGTAGTCCCTGCTCTGTCTTCCTGCTTCTACCTCCCAGGTACTGGGATGGTAGACATGTGTCGCTGTTCTCAGCTTACAACTTTGACTTCGTATTTTGTAAGAGACAGGGTATTGCTGTATTGCCCAGACTCACTTTGAACTGCTGGGCTCTTGCCTTAGCCTGTGGTTCAGGACTAGAGGCATGTTCCATTGCATAACAACTAACTGTTAGTATTATCTGAAATTAATCGAAAGTCTACATAATGTTTTGTTCTGTCTTGTTTACTTACTTACTCGGATTTCTCTGTTTTTGAGTTTTATTTTTTTCTTTTTGAGCCTGGGTCTTGCTCTGGGGGCTCTCCCCTGCTTCAGAGCTAAGGACTGAGTGTGCCTTGAGTGTGCTTTACCTCTAACCTGCATTTTAAGACGTCTTGCTGCGTGCCTGATCTCTATAGCTTGGTGTGTTACCCAGCTTAGCCTTGAAATTGTTATTTATTTGCTTATTTTTGGTTTTTTAAGACAGGGTTTCTCTTGTAGTCCTCGCTATCCTTTAACTTACTCTGTAGACCAGGCTGGCCTTGAACTCAGAGGTCTGCTCGAGCCTCTGCCTCCCAAGCGCTGGGATTAAAGGCGTGCACCACCCCTGCCCGGCTACCCAAGTGCTTGGATTAGTGTGTACCACTGTATCCAGCCTCGTCATATAATTTGGAATAGTTTTTGTCCTTTGTTCAAATCTCTGAGAATAAAATTTTTGTGCCAGAACATAGTAAGTGTTTTAGGGATTTTATTGTTTATTTCTTCATATTGATTAAAAAATAATAAAAGTTTATAGTCATAATTATGTGCATCATAGTCACTTTTTTGACACACGTTTTCTTAGACTAAGCTGGTCTAGAACTTTAAGACAATTTGAAAAAATTATTTGTGTGTTAAGTATTTTGCCTATATGTATATCTGTGCACTACATGCATGTTTGGTCCCTGTGGAGGACAGAAGAGGATGTTGAATCCTTTAGAGCTAGAGTTAGAGATGATTCTGAGCTGCCATATGGGTGCTTGGAATTGAATTGGGGTCCTCTGGAAGAGCAGCCAGTGCTTATAACCACTGAGCCATTGCTCCAGGCCCTGGCCTAGAACCTTTGACTTTTTTCTTTTCCTGAGTGGTCTGATTGAAGGTATGTACTACCATGTCTGGCAGTCATAGTACTACTATCTGTTTCCAGAATGTTCTCATTATCCCAAGCAGAAATTCTATAACCACTAAGTAGTATTTCACTACTCTGACCAATCTTTGGTTACTTCTATTTTTCTCTAGGTATTTCATGTATGTGGGAATCATACAACTTTTTTGTTTGCTTATTTGATTTCAAGATAGGGTTTCTCTCTGTAACAGCCCTGGCTGTCCTGGAACTCACTCTGTAGACCAGACTGGCTTTGAACTCAAGAGATCTACCTGCCTCTGCCTCCCAAGTGCTGGGATTAAAGTTGTGTGCTACCACTGCCTGGCGAACTGCTATATCTTATGAGCTACATTTTGAAAAATGTTATATATGAGGTCAGAGAAATGGCTCAGTGGTTAAGAGCACTTGCTGCTCTTATAGGGGGCTGAGGTTCAGCTGATAGCACCCAGATGGTGACTCACAGTTATCTGTAACTCCAGATCCAGTACTCTCTCCTGGCCTCCTCAGTACTGCATACTGAGGAGTTTTATCCACCTATATTCATGCAGGCAGAACACTTGTGCATAAAGTAAAAATAAGTAACACCTAAAAATAATAAAATGTAATATGTATGTATGTATCTGTGTATATATTTTAATTATTGTTGTTTTTGAGACAAAGTCTCACATAGTCCAGGCTGGCCTCATAATTGCTGTGTTGCTGAGAGTGACCTTTTACTCTTTTTTTTTTTTTTTTTTTTTCCGTTTTTAAGACTGGGTTTCTCTGTGTAGTCTTGGCTGTCCTGGGATTTGCACTGTAGACCAGGCTGGCCTCACATTCGCAGGGATCTGCCTGCCTCTGCTGTTAAGTGCTGGGATGAAAGGCGAGCACTACCTCATCTAGCCTTTTTTAAAAAAATGTGTGTCTGTTTCTGTGAGTATGCCCAAGGAAGCTAGAAGAGGGCGGGGTGGGGATTGGATCTCCAGGGAGCTGGAATTACCTGTAATTCCCATCTGATGCAGTGATGGGAACCCAGTTTGAGTTCAGAAGAGCAGAGCAGCAGGCACTCTGAATATGGGGCCGTCTCTCCAGCCCCTAACATTTATGTCTTCGTTCTGTGTGTGGGGGGAGGGCAGGGGACTGGAGTAGGGGGCATCGGTGTGCTGTGGTGAATGATGTGGAGGTCAGAGAACAATTTCCGGAGGGCCATTTTTTTCCAGGAGCTTGAATTCCAGTCTTTTGGCATGGTGGCAGGCAGCTGTACTTGCTCAGCCATCTTACTGGCCCTCCGATTTATTTTTAAGTAGTCTGTTCTGATTGCAGCCTCTGAGTGTTGAGTCTCATTTTCTTTGGTCTCTACATGTCCTCATAGTCGGTGGTTCTGAACTGTTTTTCAGGCATCTGCAGCCCTGGCTAGGAAGAAGGGGAAAAGTCTGCATAAGGATATGTCTATCTTTTGGCACAAGAAGAAAATAAGTGAGTTTTCAGTTACTGATTCCATAGTCTGATGCTCTGTGCAGGCTCTTGACATTCAAGTGGAGTGGCTAGCTCCAACTGCATCCTGCATCTCATCGTTGTTTTTGGAAGCTTTTATCAACCTTGTTCTGACCCTTGTGTCTTCAGGTCCCAGCAAAAAACCGTTTTCTGTGAAGGAGAAGAAGCTTGGTGATGGTGAAACCAGTCAAGGCATAGAGGATCCTCCCTTTCAGCATTCCCCTCTTGGCAAGCCCATAGTGAGGCCTGCAGCTGGCAGCCTGCTGAATAAAAGGTGGGGTTTACCTTTCTTAGTAACTGTCATAAAAGAAGAGAAGTAGGGGAGAGCTCTGACATTCTAGTAGGGACTGAGGGGCCATGGGGCAGGGACAAGGAAGAGCTGCTTTTGAATCCCCTCCCTCACAGTGAGCATGGTCAGTGGGATGGTTTAGGACAGCCGATCTGAGCAGTTGCCAGCTTGATTGGTGATTCTGTTTTGTTTTAATATTCCCCAGGACCTAGGATTTTGGGAAGGCCCTCTTTAATCCGGGTCTGACTTCTAGGAGATTTTCTTAGGGAAAGCCTTATTACAAAACTGCCATTTCTACCCTACTCCTTTATTTAAAAAAAAAATATTTTGCTGGGTGGTGCCAGTGCATGCCATTAGTCCCAGCATTCAGGAGGTAGAGGCAGGTGGATTATGGAGTTCAAAGCCAGCCTGGTCTATGAAGCAAGTTCCAAGTTAGGTAAGGACTACACAGAGAAACAGTGTCTCAAAAAATAAACAAATATAAATTATTTGTTTTCATTTTATGCCTGTGTCTGCATGTCTGTACAGGGCTGTCCACTCCAGGGGAGCATAGAATGTGGTGCTCTATGCAAGTTATCTTCACACGACTCCTCTCCTGTCTCTCTCAGTCCCACACCCTGCATGTAAATCCACACTGAATAACTTTCACTTTTATATGTCCAGCTGAACTGGCAGTGCTGGAGTGTAGTGTATTTGTGTTTTGTTTGTTTGTTTGTTTGTTTGTTTTTCAGGACAGGGTTTCTCTGTAGCCCTGGCTGTCCTGGAACTCGCTTTGTAGATCAGACACCTCTGCCTCCCAAGTGCTGGGATTAAAGGTGTGCACCACCACTGCCCGGCGATTGCCTTAGTTTTCAATTGATTACACGTGTACATGTTTGTCTATATGTATGTCTGTTCAACATATATATTCAGTGCTCAAGGTGGCTAAAGGAGGGTGTCAGATCCTCTGGAATTTAGAGTTACGAGATAATTGTTAGCCACTGTGTGTGTGCTGGGAACCAAACCTGGTCCTCTGTAAGAGCAGTGAGTACTCTTACCACTGAGACATCTCTCTAGCATCCACCCCCTTTTCTTTTCTCTTTCTTCCTTTTCTTTCCTCCTCCTCCTCTTTCTCTTCATCCTCCTTCTCTTTCTCCCTCCCCCCCCCCCCCCTCTCTGAGACATGGACTTATCTCTTTCAGACTAGCCTGGGTCCTCTGCAAGATCTGCAAATACTCTCAACTGTTGCATCATCTTTCCGGTCCAACCCACCCCCCTTTTTGGTACAGGGTCTCACCTATACCAGACTGTATTCATTGTGTGGTGGAAAATGACTATGAAGTTCCCTTATCTCCTGCTTCCACTTACTCAGTAATGGGATTATAGGCACGCACCACTACACCCCATGTATGAGGTGCTGAGGCTTGAACCCAGGACTCTGCTCTTCTAACCTGAGTTACATTTTTAATCCGTTATCTCATTTTCTTAAGTATGAAATATTTCAGAATTATTAAAAAACCAATAAATCTAACATCTTTGTTCTCAACACTGCTGCCCTTCTTGTAGGGTCTTGTTAGTTCCTCAGCCTAACCTCAGGTGACTGACTCAGGCAATCCTGTGTCAGTCTTCTTGAGTTGTTGAAGCAGCAGCTTTATTTTTTTTATTTTAATTTAAAGTGAAAAAAAATCTCATGATCACCTTTATTTAGGCTTTGTTTTATTTATTTTGTTTTATTGCGGGGAGGGACGTTTGAGTGTCCTAGAACTTTTTATGAAGACCAGGCAAGCATCGAACTCAGAAATCTCCCTGAATCAGCCTCTCTAGTGCTGGGATTAAAGTCATGTGCCACTATGCCTGGCTGGCTTCTTTAATTTTGATGCTGTACTTTCTTAGCTTTAGAGGACCAGAAAGTCTTGATTCAGAAGTGGAAATGGTACAAGGGCCATGAATGTGTTGTTTTCTCTATAGCTCTCCAGTGAAGAAGCCAAGCCTTCTAAAGATCCACCAGTTTGAGGTAGACCCTTTTGACTCTGGATCTGAGGGCCCTGAGGGCCTTGGTTCATGCGTGTCATCTCTTAGCATCCTGATAGGAACTGTGGCTGAGACATCTGAGGACAAGTACCGCCTTCTGGACCAGAGAGACCGAATAATGCGGCAAGGTATAGTGCACAGAGACAAGTCCAGAGTCCCTGGTGAGGTCAAGGTTGGGAGGCATTGAGTCTTGGGATTTCTTCTGTGCCATGCCTGGTCTTCCTGGAGGTGTGAGCTGTGTGTGTACTAATGTGTGGTGAGTGCATGTGTTTATGTATGTTAGGAGTGTGTAGAGGAACAGCTCACAGTGATTGCTGGTAGAGAGGGACAGTGTCTGAAAGGCAGAAGTGGAGGTGATGCTCCGTTTCAGGCATTGTTTCCCTTTGGAATGGTAAACTGAATGCATTACTTTCAAACTGATAAATTAACATTACAATTATGTAGTACCCCAAATGGAAACCCATATTTTCAAATTTTTTCTTTTTCTTTTTTTTTTTAAAATATTTATTTATTTATTATGTATACAATATTCTGTCTGTGTGTATGCCTGCAGGCCAGAAGAGGGCACCAGACCCCATTACAGATGGTTGTGAGCCACCATGTGGTTGCTGGGAATTGAACTCAGGACCTTTGGAAGAGCAGGCAATGCTCTTAACCTCTGAGCCATCTCTCCAGCCCCTTCTTTTTTTTTTTTTTTAAAAAACTCTTTTCTCTTTTTAAAAGTTTTTTTTTTTTTTTTTTAATTTCATCTGCATTAGTGTTAGGCTTGCATGTCTGTCTGCATGAGGGTGTCAGATCCCCTGGAACTGGAATTATAGACCGTTATGAGCTGCCATGTGGGTGCTGGGAATTGGATCCCGGGTCCCCTGGAAAAGCAGCCAATAGTCTTAACCTCTAAACCTCTCCCCCTACAATTTTTTTCCCTTAATTTTCAGCTGTTTGATTCTTTTTTTTTCACAGCTATATAGCCCATGTTGGCCTAGAGCTTAAAATTTTCCTCTTTCAGCCTCCTGGGTGCTGGGATTACACATATCTATCTCACCTGGCATTTTTTTAAAAAGCTGAGAATAATTGTAATTATAGCAGAACTCTCTTACGATGGTAATAAAAACTGCTGTTGTAATCAATGCTTTTTACATTTCTCATGCATTTGCGTCTTAGTTAGCATTGCTGTTGCTGTGGTGAAACACCATGGCCAGAAAGCGCGTTGGGAGGAAGGGTTTGTCTTACACTCACTGTTCATCACTGAAGGAGGTCAGGACAGGAACTCAGACAGGGCAGGTGCCTGGAAGCCAGAGCTGATGCAGAGGCCATGGAGGATGCTGCTTACTGCTCTGCTCATCATGGCTTGTTCAGTCTGCTTTCTTGTATAGCCTAGGACCCCCTGCCCAGGGATGGCACCACCCACAATGGGCTGGACCCTCCCCATCAATCACTAATTAAGAAGATGTCCTACAGTCTTATCCTGTGGAGGCATTTGTCTTCTGTTTCGTTTTCGAGATGGTCTCTGTGTAACAGCCCTAGCTGTCCTGGCATTAGTTCTGTAGACCAGGCTGGCCTTGAATTCACAGAGATCCGCCTGCCTCCGCCCCTGAATGCTGGGATTAAAGGCTATTTTAAAAGTGTAACCAAGGGGACTGGAGAGATGGCTCAGAGGTTAAGGGCATTGTCTGCTCTTCCAAAGGTCCTGAGTTCAATTCCCAGCAACCACATGGTGGCTCACAACCATCTGTAATGGGGTCTGGTGCTCTCTTCTGGCCTGCAGGCATACAGACAGAACATTGTATACATAATAAATTAATAAATAAATAAATAAATAAATAAATAAA